GCTCAGAGATGTGTATAAGAGACAGCAAAAAAAGGCTTTGCTTTTATTATAGCAAAATGTCGAAATAAAAATAATCTCCAAATTATAAACAACACTGTGTTTGCTTTCTCGCAAACTGAACTTTCATCGAATAAATAACTAAATTTCATCCTCTTCACAGTTCATTTATAGGTCAGGCAAAATTTATTTTAATAAAATCTTACTTTCAGACTTAATTAAAAAAGTAATATAATATTGTAAATTGAAAAAAATCCAATGATAAATGATAATCTTCCGATATTTTTCCTAAGAGACAATTATCAAAGAATCTACTGTTAAAAAATAATGCACGACAAGACATCACATTTAATTTAGTTATGTAAACTGTAGCAATATCAATATTACCTACAAGTTATTAATGTATAGTAAAAAACCAAGTTAAGTATAATGTTTTGTTAACGTTAAAATTGAATGCGTAAATCGAAACTTGCGTTAAGAAAGTCTTGTTTCCACTGTATCTTGCAGTTAAGACAAATATTGAAAAATTTTCCGTGAATCATTGATTATCTGCTTAAATGGGGCGTATATCAAAGACTGTTCTGTTTTCTGTAGCCTACCGAAAACCGGATAACATAGCTATCTACGATCTTTCAACACCTTACGGTCTATAAAAATTATTTATTCTTCAGCAACATGGATTAATTTAAAAAGCGTCTAATAAGCAACACTTAAAAAATTGTGTCCTTCATGTCTTTATTCTTGTGTTTTATTTCTCTCCGTTATATATATAAAAACGAGCTTTACAGTACAATAAATACATACAGATATACATCTGTATAATATGGTACGTACAGACATATTACATAAAATGTGATTTCTGTAAGGAGTAAATCTCCAAGAATACTACCAAGGCCAAGCTCTCTATCGCGTATCCCACCGGAAACGGATATGACGTGTTACTTACAATTAGTCGATTAAGGTAATTAAAAAATTTCATTCTCATGTGCAACCATTGGATTTGGTTAGATAAACTGCCACGAATAATTACGTTTACTATTAGTATATTACTATCGCAAACATAAAAATATCGATACATTGTGTGTGTGTGTGTGTGTGTGTGTGTGTGTGTGGCGCGCGCGCGCGCCAATAGTAAAAATATTAAAAATAAAAAGTAAACGAGTACGAATTAAAATTAAAATTGAATTGGCTTTGGATAATTCTATAAATAAAACTGTCAATATATTTAAAACGTTTCTTACGAGAAAAGATCGAATCAATTTAATACTCCTTGCATATATTCATCATTAAATCTGTGTCATGCACGTGTGCAAGATTTATATATCATTATCATGTCCATGTTATTTAACATGTAATGTTAATTGTATTATTCTAATTATTTTCATTAATTGCATAAAAAAATTTAAGAAATTCTATTTCTTTTTTCTCTTTTTCTATCTCTTTTGTTCGTGAAATTAGAATTTGTCAGTTAACTGTAATAAAATATAATAAAATGAAAGATTGACAGAACGAGAGGGCGTAGAAGTTTGCTGCGTACGTATCGATTGGGGACGCTGTTCGCCAACGAGACTAGCCTACATTCTGTCTCCTTTCTTCACCCTCCCGAGTTACGAAGGCCGAATTGTCTCCCTCTCTCTACACCCTCTCATCGACCTAGAAGTTCTCATTCAACGCTCCCTTCTCTTTGCTCTTACTTAACCTTGCCACCCTCTACCGTTATCTTTTTGCTTCCTCTTCTCTGTCGATTGCGTTTCGGCGGAGGTTTGAAGGAAAATAGAGATAAACGAAAATAGAGACAAAAATGTAACGAAGAGGCAGTGATAAATATCGTAAATATATAGCAGCATAGGAGAAAAGATTAATCGTTCAGCTTAAGCTAAAGCAGAGAATAATTGACGCAATAATAAAAACGAAAATAATTGACATAACAACAAAAACAAAAATTTATATCCTTGATTATGATTATTTCAGTAGCAATTACTGCTATCAAAATGCTGCTTCTTGTTTGCAACCAACATTGAAATAATTGAACGAACTGAAAGCAGAAAAGGAAGACAAATCAATCGCATATAAGACAATTTATTCCATTTCCAGAATTAAATTTCGCGACAAACACGCGGATTTCGTTCAAAACACAAATTTACATATACTTATGTTGCAAAAGTTAAAATTATAAACGTCTCGAACAGGGTGATTAAATCAATGTTGTACAATTTTGTAGTTAATTTTAGCGACTTGGAAGAAAATTTGGCGAGCCGGCGGTTTTAGCGCTAAAAACTTTTCTCGATGGATCATATCACTGCACCGCCGCGTTCATCAGGGGTATCGTTGGGTGCCGCGATGGTACGTACAAGGGGCGAGGCCACGTACCGTTACAGAGGGAAGGGTGGCTCGGTGAATCGTATCCGTGTCACGAATGCGCGCGTCTGCTGCACTTCATCCCCTCGCCACCCCTTCGCGGTCAGCGCGAAAGAGGTGAATGCAGTTGGCCGTCATTTTGCAATCCGTTCAGACGCCATTCAGATGCGTTCGACGCGAGTTCGATCCTACGCAGACGTGCAATTTATCTGCGGAGCTACGTATCGTATCTCATCGTCTATCACGATGTCGATGTGCACAGGGTGATGCTGTCTATCGCGACAACGTCTTAACGAGACGTGACAGACCATCTCGAAAGGAGGAAAAGGACCTTCTTCTCCCTCGCCTCGGCAAGGTATATGATTAACCCGCAAATGCGAGTGCATGTGTTTCGACGTTACCATCTCAAAACGTTCCCGCAGACGTCTTGCGCAATATCATTGCACTGCGTCGTATGTCGAATATTACATGATTATCGGCTCTTTGAAAATTTTCTTGCAAAAATCAAACAATTCGTATGTCGAATAAAAACAATTGTAAATTTTCACCTTATCTGTGTACATTTTAACAATGCGGATCGAGTAATCTATCAATTACGATTATAATAATCATTAGATACATGTCCATAAGCGCAGACATTGTCTTTGATCCAATAGATTTATATTCAATAATAATATACGATATTGCGATTTTACGAACAATTATTTTTACACCTATACAAATAATAAATTAATTAATTTAATATAATTCTGATATATCATAAAATTATGATATGTAAGAATCGATTCGATGGGGTGTATTCATCTCGTAATAAATAATTGAGCATAAAATACAGAGCTACTTATCGAAGCAAAGAGACATTACTTTTTACTAAGAATATGTCAAACTATGTGTATATATATGTACATATATGTGTGTATCTTACGGTTATTCATTAAATATTATCATACACGTAATATCGGTAGTTATACCAATATGAAAAATTTTTATGAAAATTGAAAATTTCGTTATTTGATTAAGAAAACCGAAAATGATGAAAAACGTAATCAAATTATAATGGTCCATAAGTATCCGGATATCCTTTCTTTGACCAATCGTCGTAACGCAATTTCACGCAAGTGCGTATATCCCTGGGTGCGTGCGCTCTACGAAAACTCGTAAGCTTCCTGTGGAAGGATGAATGGAGATCAAGCCAGTTGGCAGTGCGAGGGCTGCTCTGACATTCGTGCGAGCTTTTTCGTTGTTTGAGAATACGTAACTAACTTATACTAAATTGTTTTTCTCTCTCGTGCTTGGAAAGTATTTTTTTTTCCTTCATGTCATTTACAATACGAATCGCAAAAAACGCGTGAGCTTGAGGCAATAATCGAGATTTTTGTCGTTTTTTTTTTATTTGACTTTGAAAATAGCTAAAAGATATTTGAATCAGTTTGAATTTTTCAACGAGTCGTAATACATTTTTATCTCAAAACGACAAAGTGGTTTATTTACATTAGTGTGAAATCGAAGCACGCGGAAACGAGCATTCAGTTCCGGTGTGCCTATTGATTTTTTAGTGCTACTACACAATGATCACCGGTTGCCATTATCGTACTATAGCCGGTAAGTAAAAAGCATAATTTTGTCGTTTGCTTGTTTACTAAAAAAGAATCGTCGAAACAATGTCAAATTGAAAATTATACAGTCATCTACAATTTTATCGCGTCACAAAATTGAATTAAGGAGATTTCAAAGAAAGATACATAGATAAAACACAAATCCGGGCTTGTATAGAACGAATATAATGCTTAAGCAGACGTAAATGGCAAATATGAACATCCGGTTTCGCGTGAATCACCGCTATATTCTTGAGAAATTGTACGTACGTAATACGTTTAAGAAGATCTTCGTGAATGTTTTTCTGTCATTAAAATTAACAGAGAAATTGCGGGTATTTGAACCTTATAAATGAAGTTTAGATAAAGAAAAATAAGGAAATACACACGCATGGCGATTTTAGGAATATAAGTTTGCACCTTTTGAAATGATAAAGAATATCTAAAATTTTAATTGCTAATCGAGTACGACTGGGAATCATGTGAGGATTTTATTGCATGATATTATTGTTTATGCGGTAATTTCTATTTATACAAGTCAATTCACACGCTCGAAAATCGTAAGCAATATATCGCGTGAATCATTTTGATTTTTCCACATGATGATTATTCCTGAATTGGAAACTGATTGTTAAAAGAAACCTCAGAAGATAATCTTGATTTAAAATATCATTTTGAGTTTTGGATAATCGCGTGGAGAGATTAAAATGGATCACCCACGGTATATATTGTTATACAAGTTGAAAAAAAAATTCGTTCAACATGACGACAATTTATACGATACGGGACGATCCGCTTCTCATTTCATTCCGTCGTATCTGCAGTTATAACGTGGATCGCACGTAAAGCACTTTGCTTCTCCAAATCCAGTTATTTGGAGAAGAAGCAGCGTCCGCTCGTGTATCGAATAAACGTAAAACTCGTTCCCGAATGCGACATTACTGTCATTAATCGCACGTGCTCCGCTTTCATTCACGCCAACTCCCACCCGCGTGAATAACACGGTACAAGCGTTTACATTCACGCCGCGGTTGGCCGACGCCGACGGGTCGACAAGGCCGTCGCCGCCACGATTGGCCAGCGCTTTACTCTCAACGTACTACACGAGAGAGAACGAGAGGAATGCGAGACGATCGCGAAGGCACTATGAATAGAACTAAAGCTGCGGGTCAAAGCATATGAAACGGAGCATCTCTCTCTCGGGTAGTTCCGACAAGGAGTTTGCTTGGGAGTTTCGACTCCGCCGCAATATGGCCGTATCGTCGTATACACAACTCCCATTCTCGGAGCATCGTGCCCGTAAATCACACGTCAATCACACGCTGCTCGGAATATTATTGTATGCGCTGCTGATGAAAGGTATCGATCAAACATCAGGGTGAAAAGTAATCCTTCTCTTTTGCTCGTTCGGTCGCTCATTCGCTCGCAAATACTGTGCATATCCGCTCGCTATTATTACATCAATGAGAAAACAGGATGTGATTTATTCACGATGCTCCGACTTCGGGATAGTGTATGACGCGGGCTAATGGTCGTGGGTCGTGTGTGCGTGCGTGCGTGCGTACGTACGTGCGTGCGTGCGTGTTACCCGCGTATATACGCAATTCATAGTTAACAAATGAACGATTTTATGTCTATTTCATGACCCTAGCCCATTTTGTATTTGTTGCATCTGTTGTCCCTACTTTCATTTCACGATTCGCTTTTTCTCGTTTAGATTCAGAATTGAGTTATTTTTATTTCTTGTTCATAATGCAAAATAACTTTTCTTTCGTTCTACGTTACCTATTTCGTCGAATTGCGTTTGTGTTTATTGCGGCCAAAGCGCTTATACGTTAAATTTTTGTCATTATGTTAAAATGACAAGAGTCAAGTATGTACAATGAGCAAAATTTGTATACAATTTTTTACAATGCTTCATAATACTGTAAAGCTTCTAGTTATGTTACAGTCTGTGTGTGCAATTTTATTATTATTTTTATTATAGATGGTACAAGTGTTTCCTTGACTCATCATCATGCAAATGATGTTAATTATTATGATGCAACAATCAACAATAGTGATAATATAAATCCTCTGGAAAAATTTTATCTAATCAATGAACAAAAGTGGCATAAGGATACACTAGTGCCAATCTCCTTATTGCCCTCTACGAAGGGAATGCCTACGAGATCCTATCACAGGTAACGCTTATGTACCGTGTAAAAATTCACAATATCAGCCTGTAATCATATCCTGCTAATCACCGTATTTCACGAAATATTAAGATTTACTCTTTATCTCAAAGTATTTTTAATACAGAATCCGGCAGTCCGTGACAGGACTGGATGATGCTGGAATGGATCTCCAAGTGGCCCAACTCAATAGTCAGACAGACAAGGAAGTACATTCCAGGACGACTCTATCATGGCTAGATTGGCATTTGCCTTACTTTGTAGCGCTTTGTGCATTCGCTGGCACTATTCTTTTTACATTCCTAGTAAGCATCACATTTCTTTACGATACTGAAATGTAGAAAACTCGTTCTCTTATTTTCTAAAAACAAGTGACTATTTTAAATGCTTGATAAATTTGTGAGACCCGAATGATTTTTTCATCATTTTAAATCAGGTATTGTATAATACAGAATTGTGTATAAGAACTTTTTCTCTAACAGATCTTGTTATGGCTGCGAAAACAAATGTCGCGTGAAAAAGATAACGAGAATGGCGATCGGCACGGTCTGGTCGAGGAAGGTGCCATTTGTCAGCCAGACAAGTCAACTAAAGATACAAAAGAATCCATGGAGGCTAAATGGGTTCACGAAGCATTTGCGAAGCAATCTGCACCCAAGTATCCGGTACGACCAATTCCTCAGACCTCTTTACCCGAGGTAAGAGAACCTATCAATGTAATAATTCGCATATAAATATTAAATTATCATATTGAAAATAACCTTCATTATTTTTAATATTAAAAGTCTCTTGCAACGCTCGAACGTAAACCAGAACCAATACGTGTAAAAGCAAAAGGACTGTTAGAAAGACGTGGCTCGAGCACAAGTTTAACCATAGAATTGGCACCAGCTCCGGAAAGTCCGCCGCATATGGTTACTCCTACTCGAGAATGTACTACGGAAGAGTTTTTGCTAAGTGCGGGAAATGTATTGTCGAGAGCACAACTGAAAAAGGTTGGCGAAAGTACGGGAACATTGCACAAAGAATTTTGGGAAGTGCCACTGAATTTGCCAGAAAAAGTGGATATTTGTGGCTCAGGAATAAAGAATCGATACAGCTCTGTGTTACCCAATCTACAAACCAGAGTTATTTTACCAGGTTCCTTCGATGATCCGCTCGCCGGTTACATAAATGCTAACTACATCCGAGTATGTAAATAGTAATTTTATATAATAATGCTTGAAAACTTGTTTGATGTACATAGACACCTTTTATTACCAAATTTCGCGGAATTGATAGACATATAATAGAAAACAAAATTTTTACAGGGATACGACGGCGAAAATGCTAGATACATCGCGACACAGGGACCATTAGCTAACACGATAGCAGATTTCTGGAAAATGGTCTGGACAGAAAAAGTTCCTGCAATCGTTATGATAACTAGATTGTATGAAGCGTCCAAACCAAAGTGCGAGGCGTACTTTCCCTTTGACGTAAATAATCGCATACAAGTTGGAGCTTTCACAATTATCGTTAATTATATTGATACGAGAAACGGATATACCGTCAGAACTATGGAAATCCGGCACGAAGGAGAAAGGAGACATTTGCAGCACTATTGGTAATATAATTATTATGCTATTCACATTTTTATTATTTTCAAATAAAGAGGAAGACTTATTTACTAATAATAAATTCATTACTAAATTTACGTATATTAAATTGTATAAAAATATATCGATATATAGGTATGATTCATGGCCGGACCATGCCGTACCTTCAACTGCAGATGCGCTCGTTAATATGGCCGCAGAGGTAAACGCTTTACCAAGACCAGTGATCGTCCACTGCAGCGCAGGTATAGGACGAACTGGCTGTTTTATAGCGATAGGGATAGGAATGAATCAACTTATAAAAGACGGAAATGTCGATGTACTGGGTATTTTGTGTCAGATGAGGTAAGGCAATAAACTTGAAATATATAAGTAATCTTACGTAGTTATCTTACAAGTACACGAAATACAAGTAACCTTAATATTTTAGATACGACAGGGGTGGGATGGTGCAAACAGCTGAACAATATGAATTTATTCATAGAGCACTTTATCTTTTCGAGCAGACACTAGACAGCAAACCGTCGACTTCGAGCGATTGAATGGATGTACTATTACTATAGGGGAATTTCTTCCGCTTATTCTTTCGTAAAACGGGGCTTTATTATTGCCTAAGAGAATGTCACTTCGCGCAGGGCTATATGCGTATCGCAAAAAAATATATATATATATATATATAAATTTCTAACGAATCTCAATGTTAGCCTGTGAACCAACGCTCTCATCTTTATCTCAATATTCAAACGAGTTGAAACTCGTTTAATAAGCTGCCATTTTCTACTGCCATGACAAATCGTTGACAATTGATATCAATCATAGAGCTCAAGAGATAAAAAAAAAAGGGTTCACCGTCGGAGTGCATTTTCTAAGCAGGTGCTTTTTAAAACTGAGGTATCATAAATAGCTTAATGAAAAGAGTATTTATGTTTATAATAACGCGCGATATGAATCGTGTGGCACGTACGCTTAAAAATCAAGATTATTATTTTATATAAGTTATAAATTAGAAATAATCTCTAAATACGGCGATAATGTATTCGCGATTCGTAAAATTTATATATGTAAAAAAAAATGTCAGATACTAAACTTGGGATTTAATTATCCACACATTCCTCGTGCGTTAGGAAATTAGTCATAAGTTCTAATAAAATTTTAAATACAAAAATGTGTAGAAACGGTTTCGCGACTGTATAATTAATATAATAACTAATACGATATACTTCGTATCGCTATTATCACGTATTATACGATGGAGTAAATACCTAACAAAATTTACTAAATTGTCCCAACGTGTAAGAGCTAAAATTAATGGTAATTACTTTAATAATATATATAATATTAAATGTGAACTAAATGTAAAATTATATGTGCGTTGTGTGTGTGTGTGTGTGTATATATATATATATATATATACATATGTATATGCATGGGCTGTCCCAAAAGTAATAAGATTAATTCTGAAAAAAACTGTTTTATTGAAAATACAAATTATTAATATTTTTCAAAGTAGGATTCTTGAGCGTCAATGTAACGGTTCCAGCTGCCACTCTTTGCACAGGAAGTCTTGACTGGACATGCCTTCCAGAGTACTCGTCGCGGCTGCTTAGATCTTTTTTATTTAATAGATGATTAAAAAGGTCCAAGCAGTCAAGACTTTCTGTGCTGCTACAAAGAGTGGCAGCAACGCTATATTGACGCTCTTACTTTAAAAAATATTAAGTGTGTTTTCAATAAAATGGTTTTTCCAGAATTAGATTCATTACTTTTGGAACAAACCATGTGTTTGTATGTACACACATACACACACGCGTGCAGAGAGAAAGAGAGGGGAAATACGGGGAATAATTGTTAAAACAGTTACTAATTTATGGGACCCAAATTGTCTAGATATTATTTTATATTTTTAGTTCCTATTTGATTTTAAAGTATCTTTTATGATTTTTGCTTTTATTTAGCCGACTAAGACTGAATATAAATAGTGCAATATGATTTAAAAGGGAAATAGAAAGAGACAATGGCTTGATAAAAAATCTGAATAAGAGTCAATTTGATATACAATTACGAGTTAAATGCAACGTTGTTATAGCGAATATCCTTATACGTATCCAAGCAACACAGCCCAATATTCTTAATTATATTGAATCATGTTGCTAGGAAATATACACAAGTATAATATTCGCTCTAATTCTCTCTATAACAATTTACTCATGTATTTTTAAATTAAAACTGATTTAATATAATGATTATTTATGTCAAAATTTATATTAAAATTCAACTTAATAATAAAAGATCTTTAGCAGTTAGATGTAAATTCAGATTTATTCTAGAAAAAATATATTGTAAAAAAACTAAATTTATAATATAATTTTTATGTTATGTTTTACGTAAAAAAAAATAAATCTGTTTTGTTTATCTCAATAATGAATTAATATACGGAAGAAAGAATCTGAATATTATACCTACAATAGTTCAGTTAATAGTTATGTAAAAATCGGAAATGTAAATTTAAAATTTGGAAATGGAAATGTTTTCACGAAATAATATTTTAAATGAAAATTAATATCCAATCAATAATGCATTTTTCGATTTTAATATACAAGTAGATTAATGTGAGAAATTCGAATCAACCTGAATTTGTATTACCATGAATTTGCATGACAATAAACAGCATTAACGTTTCGTTAATTGATTAAATGCAATTGATCTTCTTTGGCTGCTAATATTTTGTAGACATTTTAATAGACAGTAGAGTAATAATCGATATACTAAAGTTTTCGATAGTGTCAGCTCGAATAATGTCGAAATTCGCGGCACATACCTATACGCCACGATATATTACATGTATTTTGAGGTGTTAGTGACTAACTCGTTTTGCATGGTCCAATTCGGTCATCTCGACTTAGTCTAGATAAACGAAAAATCTAACATCGATACGAACTGTATCTAGCTTTCGCGTGCACAAAAAGACAATTTTAGAGCAGTTTCATACGTGTGCTAGTAAAAAAAGTGCATCAAGTCTTTCGATATATACCCGCGTAATTATCGCTTACCGCTTATTATTCATTTACTCATATTATTGATTTAATGCCTCGAAAAACGTATGTATATTATTATGTATACGCGCGTATAGAGTATACAAGTATATATGTGTGTGCATAAATATGTGTACATAGATTGTACAGAAAGAGAGAAAAGTTATGTATTTAAGAGAGTACGTATTTGTTTAAAAGAGACAAAGTATATTATTTATGGGCGAGCAAAGTCGCAAGACTTGGTATAAATGTATTAATGCATAGGCAGTGATAATAAACGATAACAATAATAATGTAACAATGATGCATAACAAAAGTAATAACAATAATTTAGCAACCCCTCGGTGTTCAATTGTACTTATATGGTGTAATAAATGTTTATAGTGTCTACACACACAACACACATAGATACATGTATTAATTTTTCACACGTCGCGGCACCTTAATAATTTTCCTAGTTTACTGGTGCGATTGCATTTTATGATGCGCATCAAAAATATCATATTGTGTTTCTTTGAGATTGTTAAATAAAAAAAACTCCCGCTGTAATTCTTAATAGCGGCAAAAATTGACTAAAAATTAATTTAAAAAATAAACAAATAATTATTTTCAAATGACAACTCTACAAAAATAAATAAATAAATAATTTTAAATGACAACTCTCCAGTAAAGAGACAAGTAAATTTTGACATAGTTGAACAATTCAAATTTTTCGCAACGAATTTACAACATCTTTTCATCGCATCATTTTATACTATTTAATATAGGAATAAAACATTCAACACAGTACGTCGTCATTGTGATGTATAATTAAAATTTAATTACGGAAAATTCGAAAACCAGTATAGTTTTACCTCTATACAGGATCTAAAGAATTGCCGCCGAAATAATCGTTGAAAAGATAACTCGGAAAATGCAAAGCGGCAAATGAAATGCGACGCGTCATTGTCGAAAAAATAACGCGCCTGATAATCGTACAGGCAGTACAGGTTATAACAGTTTTGTATTTCGTACTCACCGATAGGAAGTTCTCGGAGTAATCCTAAGATTCGCCGCAAGTTTTAACAGCTGTGGAATCGCTATCGTTGATGAGCAGTATCTCCAGGTACTTAGGTTCAAGCGGTCGGCGTGTTGCGTTTCGTCCGGTTTCGTCCTGCAGGTGTGTATAGCCGTCTTGCTTCGTGAGAAACGCGCATCTCGTACACAGTACATGCCTCCGCTCTCGCGCTAGACGCATCGCGACCGGAACTCTTCGCGTGCGTATTCCGTTCGTTCCTTCGCCAAAATCTCATTGTCAGTAACAATTCGCGCATCGAATTCCGAAAATGAGCCGAGCGATTCCACACACTTCGTACGCGGACGATCGACGCTCCGCCGGCTCCGCGTGCAACTCGCGCGTTGTCGTTCGAACAAAACATAAGCCGCGGTCACGTGATCACAACATTACGATTCACGGCGAGCGCGCGACACAACAGGGCTGTGTTTACCTGCGGACGATGATGTTTACATCCGTATAACTTCCGTAAGCGACTTTGCGCGATTCGAGGAATTTCGACAAGCGTTGTTATGGAAAGCAATAGTTTCTCAATTTTGTCGCTTTATCAAGAAACACGGTTGCGGCTCGGTGATAAAGAATACGCGCGAGATCGGACCGTACGTGTGTGTCTCTTATTACGCGAACGGACGAGTATAATATGTAGAATGTATGTACACACTTTATACCTCGACTATTTATACTTTATACTGGATCGCGACTTATATCTCGCCACCTCTGAATCGGGTCTCGTTTGTCACCGAGGTATCGTTAAAGACGCGCAGCGGTTGGTCCTACGGGATTTCGCGTGTAGCTTGAATAAAAATTCGACAGCGGGTAATCGAAGAACGATGACATTACCAACGATTTTGGCTGTACTGAAGATAACAAATATTATTTTTACTGTCGATAAAATAGTGATTCGGTCAATCATGTAAAACGATCGTGTTTGTTATCCTCGGCCGGTACAGTCAAAATGGTAATGTCATCGTTCTTCAATTATCCCCGGGCCTACTGGGCCCACTTAGCAGTTACCTGTATAGTCGACCGTCTTTAATGATACCTCGTCAGTGCCGCGGTCAAAATGGTCCGTTTCATAAAAGCTCTGTCTCGTTCATTCTTGTTTTTGTTTCATTCTCATTTTCGATGAACTGGCGAGACGACCGAGACGTTTTTGGAAAATAAACAAACCGCTACCCACGTGCTACAATTACAATAAGTTACAGATTACGGTCGACTCGAGTATTTTTTTTGGTATACTAGATACTATATTGTTCTTCGTAAATTCGATAATTTTATTTCGATTTAAACGAAATACACGGTGAGAAAAAAGTATGTACCATCATTATATCTCTTCGAAATTATTTTATACAAAACTGAAAAAATGCTTACAAATGAGTTTTGTCGGGAAAACACTTTCGCATTTATATTTACTATACAGAGACGCTGCGAGACACGGCCCTGCGACTCGCGTGGAACACGTAGTACGTATACAACAGGTTTCACGTGTGTGTCGCGGCGCGCGCGCGCGCGCTCTCTCGCTCGCGTGTGTGGTGTATGGTACCGTGTGGAGTTGGCGTGGAGTACGCGCGGCGAGCCTCGGGATCTTAGTCCGCGACGCGACACGGGATTACCGCGACTCGAGCGACTCGCGGAATAGCTCCGTACTGGCGCAGCGGCCGCAGCAGGCAGCAGGAGCAGCGGGCAGCGGACTAGCGCGCGGAGTCGACGGCGACGACGATCTCGTCGTCGTTATTCGCACTACGCCGTTCCCGCGAGCCGCGAGTAAAAGCGGAACGCGCGCGCGTGTGCGCGTTTCGTTCTGGACCCGCGAAATCATTCGTATCTGCGACGCGTGATCGGCGCGATGGTGCCGCGTTATTGCGATCGTTGCGTTACTCGCTTTCGCGCATCGATATATCCGTAGATTCCGTATAGTCGATCGTCCGTGGCGAGGAAGCGTGCGCGAGCGAGCGAGAAGGAAATAGTGCGTGAGAACTGTGAGAAGGAGAAGCGAGGCAAGCGCGCCCGCGGGGTTACGTGTGCCAACGATTCGAACGACTCGACGAGCGAGATCTTCTGAAGCCCCCAAAAAGGAGG